CTTAAGTTGTTTCGAACGGATAGAAGTTTTCAAAATATTTTGTCGTATTCTTAGAATTATCCGTTCGACTTTATCCATCTAAATTGGTGATATATCCTCTTATATGTTCTCATATTCACTTATAAGTCCCAAGTTATTTGTTGGATGTGATAAAAAAAAATTGTTCAATAATGGTAGAGATAGATGGAGATGAAATAGGGCACAGAGAGAGACGATGAAGGCTTCTCATCTCCGCCCCGTAAACATCTCTACTTCTATATTTCTCTCTCTATGTTGCCGAATGCCTCTTTATCCCTCAATCTGAAACATAGAGATTTCTCCCACGTTGGCTAATTTAGGGAATGATCATGGCTAATTTAGAGATTTACATATTTATTGGCATGAGCTCTTTTGGGGAAGTCGAAAGCAAAGCTATGATAGCTTATGCTCAAAGTGGACAATATCATACCATTATGGAGAGTAGTGATTCCTAACATGTTATCAAAGCCATGACAATAGAATCCTCAAATATCGAATAAAGATTGTGAACCTCGAAGGTGTAGTATAAAAGTGACTAAAGTGTCAAACAGAGAATGTACTTTGTTCGAGGGCTCTAGAGAAAGGAGTTGAGTCTCGATTAAGGGGAGATTGTTCGAGAGCTCCATAAGCCGGGGAAGATTGTTGAGAGTGAGTCTCACATAGGCTAATTTAGGGAATGATCATGAGTTATAAACTACCATTGGTACGACGCCTTTTGAGAAAACTCAAAGCAAAGTCATCAGAGCTTATACTCAAAGTGAACAATATCATACCATTGTTGAGAGTTGTGATTCCTAACAGAAAATAAGGAGGTATGGTGGAGAGCGATAGTGGCAGACTCGAGACGAAAAGAGAGACAAAGAAGAGCGAGAAAAACTAATAATAAAAAAATATTTAATTTAAATAAAGAAATGTCACGCCAACCTTCCATTAACTATAGTAACAAAAAAATAATAAAATAAAAAACTAATGACAATAATCAAATAAATAATTATTTCAAAACTTTAGGCGTTAAAATATTGAATTTAAAAACTCTACCTAATAAATAGACTTTAAAGCTTTAATTTTTTTTTTCTCTTGAATTTCATTGGTTAGCTTTATAGATCTTAGGATTGGAAACCATCAAAAGCAAGATAGATTGTTCCCTCAAAGATAGTAAATTTCCTCTACCTTATTGACTTTATAAAAAGATATCGATTCCTTTTATATTAATTACCATTATATTTTGATTATTTATGACATATAATCGGTCGTTCTTAGAGATTAACTGTTTGACTGTCCTCTATCCCACATGTCGTTAAGCTAAAAAAAAAAATATATGTACAGCGGCAGCTACTAATTATTGACAATAGCATAATGACAATACAAATTCGTATGTTTTGTCTATTTTAGATTGTTGTCGTATACAGTACGCATTAAATCAATATATAAGAAGACGATATCTATGTACAAACCTATAATATCGTACTTAATCTTAACGTAATAAACACGATATCAAAAACGTAAAAATTTGTGGCTTTTTTTTTTTAACCTAACATAATTATTATTTTATTGTTTTGTATAGTTAGTCAATTTTAATAAAGCAAACAAAAGTGGGAAAAAATATATTATATTACAATTACTTTTTTTCAAGTTGTTACCTTCCCATTTTTTTATTTGGCTCCTTACAAAAAAAAAATTAATTTAATTAAAAAAAAAAACTTCTTTCTATTTAAAAATTACTTTATTAGGAAAGAAATCATAATAACACTCAATATTACAATACTTTTACAATGAAAAATATTTTTCCCACAAAGAAACAAGATTCTCTCAAATTAAAAAAAAAAAAAAAAAGTCAAAGCATGCTTCAAGTATTCTAATTCCAACTTATTATATAACAATTAAATTTTTATCAAGTTGGTATAATAAAAATTAAAATTTTAAATTTAGTCCGACCGGTGTGATTTAGTTCTTAAACTTTCAAAATTATAAATTTAATCTTTTCACTTTTAAATTTTAAAAGTTTTACCCGTTTATTAAATATTTTATATTTATTTTAATAAGTTAATTGATTATATATATATATATTTTTTAATTATCAAATGACTTTTTATATGGTTGTTAAACAATTTTAACCTGAAAGTTCAGAGTCTAAATCTGTGATCTAATTAAATTACAGCGTAAAAGTTATTTGGAATATATTAAAAAAAACAAATTATATACATTATAATTAAAATAATGTTTTGATATTCTTCCTATATTAAAAGTTTTGAACTCATATAATTAACTTTTCAATTGGCTTTCACTACCAAATTGCCATATTTAAACTTAGACAAAAGTTATATTATATAGTATGCATTAAATTTACATGTCCACATAAAAAGATTGAGAGAGAGAAACAAAAATTGGGCAAAAACTATGGATTAAGGGATTGAAAACCAGGATACCAGCTGAGGAAAATATCCAAAAAAAATTATGCGAATCCCAAAACATGACCTCAACTGCAACCAATCCTTAAATAAATCAAAGAAGGTGTTACAAGTTTGTTACAAATAAGGTCGTATATTTCTAGACAAACTCGTTATACTAAGATCCATAGAAAAACGTATGGGTTTAAGGAAAGGATCCCTCTTGTAAAATGATACTAATTTAGACATTTTTTGAGTAAATAAGAGATACATGAATGAAAGTAATTTGGAAGATATGTAATTATGGTTTATAAAACTTTAAAAAATTAATAGTTAATGTATGTGTCAATAAGGCGAGCTGTATTTTTTTTTTTTTTTTAGGATGCCGGTTCCTGAGAGATGGACTGTGAAATCTTACTTCGGTTAGAGGAAACGAAATATTTTTATAAAAAGATGATCAAATAGTCCACAAAACCTAAAAAGTGGATATCTTATCCGTTTGTCGTTCAAAATGTGTAATTGTTTGGTGTGGAATGACTACAATAATGTGTTAAAGTGTACTCACACATCTATTTATAATAATAAATGTATTAGGTTTGGCTTAGAAATTAAATTTTCTTTCATTTTCAAAGATTGTAACAATTATTGGAGTAATTGAGCGTGATGCCCTTTACGAGGAGGGGTCGTTGAAGTTTCATTTTTTTTCAATATTTGGACCATATGATTATTGGAAAAGACGAAATACAAATATAGTTGAGGATCTTAATAGATCTGAGGCCTGAATGAAGGAGGGTTATATGAATAAACTGAATACATTTTCTTTCTTTTTAAAGAATATATGAGCTTATCTAATTAAAATGAAAATTTAGTGGATAAAAATTTAAAAAGCAAAATGGATTTCAAGTAAATTAATAAAAATTGAATAATTTATTGGAACTTCAATTGGATATTTATGAGAGAGAAAGCAAATTGCTCCGTACAGATCAGCCTGAAAAGGACGCAGGGAGGTTTGGTGTTAGAAATGAGTGGAAATTTTTTATTTTTTAATTCTTACTTTTCCAGCTTTAAATTAATTATATTATTTTATTATTATTTTAAAGTTTAAATCTCAATGATTTTTCCAATTCTCGTCTTCTATTTTTTTTTTAAAATTTATACTATTTCATACTTTGATTAAATCTTCTTATTTTAAAAATATTAAATTACAAATTTAATTCATTTTTCGTATCTTACCTTTAAAAAATTATGAAAATTTTAATTTTGTATTTATAACAAATAGTTGAATTTTAAAAACAATGTCTTTAGATTTAAATTTATATTTGATAAATTTTTTACATGACTTTTTGAAAATTTTAATTTTTTATTAGATAAACAGTCAAAATATTAAATGATATGTAATTTTTAATAATAGACCATACAAAAATATTCGGTATAACAAAATTCTGGAATAAGTATGTTATCAGCTAAAATGAGCGGAAACTTATCTGTTAGTTCTCTTAAAGTCATATACAGTATATTATCTTCGACTCTCTCGCTGTACAATACCGTAATATGTTTCAAGGATTTCTCTGCTTTAACTATAGCTTAAAATGTTAAAATTGAAGAGAATAATTGATTTAGAAGTCGAGATAGAATAATAACTTTAACAATAATACACGTTAATGTGAAATTGCCGTTTTTTTATTATTTAAAGGTTAATATGGACATTTTCAAAATTTAAGAATCAAAATAAATAAATGAAATAACCAATAATAATATTAAAAATTAAAATTTATGCTGCCACATATATTTTGCTATATTTTATTTCCCTTTTCAACGGGAAAAAAATAAATCTACTCAAACAAATGGAAATATAAATTTAAATTTCCGTATTAAAAAATAGACCATTCATCACTTGAATCAAGACGCCGACATTTTTAAGATATTAATTTATTCCCAAAAAATGAAATCCAAATCTCATAAAATGAAATTTTCTATAATTAAATAATGGATGAAATTCCAAAATTATTGCTAGCTATAAGCATTTTTATACTAAAAAATATTACCTTTTGTGTATTAATATTTCTTATTTTCTTGAATTTTATTAGCTAGATTTAAATATTTTATTTTTTTAATAAAATAAAAATGTAAAAGAGTTAAAAAAAATAGTTATGAATTTTCATAAACTACATTAAAAAAAAAATGAATACAATCTATAAGATGTCGAATTTTTTTTAAAAGATAAAAGGATGATTTGGTGAGTATTTTTAATATATTACTAACAATAAATATTTTTTTAAAACAAATGATGTGTATTTTTTTTAGAAAGAGTACCATGTTTTTTATTTATTTATAATAATATTAATCCAATAAAAAAATTGAAATGGCGAATTTGTAATTTAAGTTAAAAGCAAAGGGTGGATAGTCTGTAACCAATTCCAAAGGCGATTGCAAGTTGATGATCCACTTGCAAGTCCGGCGTAAGCTTTAGGATCAAATAATAAAATAAAATTTTATATTAAAAAAGAAAAAAAAAAATCTTCTAAAGAAAAGAATCTCTCTTTCTCTCTCCTCTCTCTTCGTATTATATATATCGGAAAATGCCCATTTTGCGATCATCTATTCGTCTTCTTAACTCAGCCCTAACTTTCTCGGTAATAAACAAAACAATCACTGGTTTTTAGAGAGAGAAAAAGGGCAACAGAGAGATAGAGAGATTTTTGGAGAATGCCTTCTTCTATTCAACTTCATCGAATCAATCCTAGCAGCAATCCAGGCGGTGGCGTCGCCTCAACGATTATGAACTGTCACAGAAGCGCGGTGGCGGTGGAGCGGGAGAAAAGGAGCAGCAGCATCTCACTGACGGACGCGGCGCCGATGCCGGTGCCAGATGCGGTTGCGCGGCATCACGCGCACGACGTCGGACCGGAACAGTGCTGTTCCGCTGTGATCCAGATTATCGACGCTCCGGTCTCGACGGTGTGGTCCGTGGTGAGGCGGTTCGATAATCCGCAGGCGTACAAGCACTTTCTCAAAAGCTGTCATGTGATTGACGGCGACGGTACTGTCGGCACTCTCCGGCAGGTCCAGGTCATCTCCGGCCTTCCCGCCGCCTCGAGCACCGAGCGCCTCGAGATTCTCGACGACGAGAGGCACGTGTTTAGTTTTCGCGTCGTAGGCGGGGACCACCGCCTGCGAAACTACCGATCCGTTACCTCACTGCACGCGATTCCATCGACATCGTCATCAAGTGCAAACGGATCGAGATCGTCGACGGTTGTGGTAGAATCTTATGCAGTTGATGTACCGCAAGGCAATACTAAAGAAGAAACGTGCGTGTTCGTTGATACGATCGTACGGTGCAACCTTCAATCCCTTGCACAAATCGCTGAAAACATGGCCAAAACTTCCTAAATTAATTTCCATCCATTTCTTCATCTTTCCTTCTCCTTTTTTTTTTTTTTTTTTTTTTGTGTGATACAGGTGTGGAAGTGGATTTACTCGCACTGTTGATCATTTAACACATAGAATCATGATTTGCATCCTTTTTCCTCTCTATTTTTCTTCATATTTTAGGTGTTTTTTTTTTCCTTCTGAAACCAATCTCAGCAGATTGTGCGCGATGGTTTGATGAAGGAGATTCGTTCACCCGATCGAAATTGGCATCATACTACTTTTTCTTGTTCTCCAATTGTTGTATGTATAAATCTGTTCCTCCTTATTTCGTTCGTTTATCTATGTATAGAGAGAGAATTCTCTCTCTTTCTTCTGAAGTTGGCTTGAATCCGATCCGCGGCCAGTTTTGATTGTCAACTGTTCTTGTTCGTCTTGTAGATGTTCCTGTTTGTTAATTAAATAGTGTAATTAATTTACTCGTTTGGTACGTAAATCCTTTCTATTTTCCTCATGCATGTCTCTTCGTTTTCGTTTCTTTTGATCCTCTCTCCTTCCTTTGTTCATCTTTTTTTTTTCATATGTATACACATCTGGTTCCAAGATTTTGTTAGGATTTCAAAGAACTATTGTGTTAGATGAAATATCAAAATAACCAATCCTTCTTAAATTAAAGTAGTTCTACAAATTTAGATTATTAAAAAAATTAACACAAAACGTGTCTCTCGTATTCGAGTTTGAGTCAAATGTAATTATTCTCCAAATTTGTTAGAGAAGAATATGCTGATTTTTTTGTTTTAAATTAATGTAAAAAAGAAATAATGTCATGTCTGGCTAGTTTGGGTAGTACAGTTAACCAACATTTTAAAGTCCTTTAATAAATCCTCTTTTTCCATGGTTTCTTGCAAAAGTTTATAAAATGTAGCAAAAATTCAAAGTTCCTCTTAGGAATATAAAGTACAATTATTAAAAGATTTGATTAAAGGGTGAATAGTTGAGTAAAGGGGGAGGGGGATTTGATTGGTTAGTTTAATAAACGAAATAGTTTTGAATATTATTTACAAATTGGAATTAAAATAGGGAAAAAAAAAAGGATTGGAGGAATCAAACAGCTGCAGCAATGCAAGTGGGCAGAAGAAGAGTAGAAGAGGGCATGCTTTTCATTAATACTACCAACTTGGGGCTGTGGAAAAACATGAGGGGCCATTGCAACTTGCCTCTATTTTTATTATCTTTTTTATTAAATATTCTCAATTTGAGTGATTTTTGGCAATTTAATTATTTTTTTTTCCCTTTTCAAATTTTGAAAACATTGCAACTTGCTTGGACAACTTGCCCATATAAAGACACCTTTTATTTATTTATTTTTCTATTTTTCTTCTTCTTCTAATAAATAGATTAAATTCTTTCCTTCCCTCTTTTGTTTACTTTTGGGAGAGAGATCAAATCAACTCATTTAATTTCCTCTTTCTCTCTCTAAATATTTTATCTTCAATTGTACAAAAGATGATATGTTTTTATATCTCCGTCCCTAATGCAAATAGTTCTTTGGAAGACACGGTAGTGTAACAACCCGAAACCTAAAAGGAAAAATTTTAAGAGGACAATATCTGCTAGCGGTAGATCTAGGCTGTTATACAATTTAACCCCCTCTAGAGCCTAGCGTCCTTGCTGAGACACCACTCGATGTCTACCCCTTTGGGTCTTAGTGTTCTCCCTGGTAAATTGGCTCTGATATCATTTATAACGACCCTAAATTTCTACTTAATCTAAAGTCACTACGGTATATATATCATAAACATTTTATATGAAAAATACTTCACCACTATTGTGAGATCCCATATAGATTGGATAAGGGAACAAGTGCCAAGAACACTAGGCCCAAAAGGGGAATAGATTGTGAGATTCTATATCGGTTGGAGATGAGAACGAAGCATTCTATATAAGGGCGTGAATACTTCCCCTAATAGTCACGTTTTAAAAATCTTGAGGTGAAGTCCAAAAAAGAAAGCCCAAAGAAGATAATAGATGGGCTTGGGCTGTTACACCAAGCCCCCGGCAAATGAGCTAGGTCTAACTTCACTTCCAATCACTTGATCAAGAGCAAATATATAATGCTCCGTGTTCAAGATTCATACCAATATTTGAAATATAGATTTGACACACATTGACTCTGATATTCCATTGCATCCCCGACAACATGACCATGTTGCCTACTCGTCTCAAGTTACTTTTAAAAGCGAAGACTATTTCCACATATTAACATTAATTATTTTAGCATATTTTGTTCGGTGAGATCCTACACCGGTTGAAGAGGAGAATTAAGCATTCTTTACAAGGGTTTGAAAATCTCTCTCTAGCAGACGCGTTTTAAAACTGTGAGAACAATTAACACAAATAAAATTTTCCTCGCATTATTATTTCCATCAAATATTCAGTTCACATTTGAAAACCAATTTGAAAATTTGACTAAATTTGGGGATAGAAAAAACCATATTCTAAATAAATTAATTTTTTTAAAAAAAGAATTATGACATTAAATATTAAAAAACAACACATTATCATTTAAATGTGCCTTAAAATAAATTAAAAAAATAAATGGGAACTATTAATATGGTTTTATAAAGTTTTTATTTAATTAATTAAAAAAAAATTTCCTTTTGCACCTAAAAAGCATAATATAATATATATATATATATATATAGTGGAGCCCCCCAACCTAACATATACCTTAATAATTTAATGATTTGGAACTATTTTTATATTGACATGTTTATATCAATAAATATATGACTGCTTTTTATACAACTTTATTCATTCATTAAATAATTTATTGTGGAAGTTGAAATATAGATTTTTTAAAAAATGAAAAATTCATTTAAATATTTTAAAATTTTGGGGAAAAAAAACACAAAAGTAACAAACCCATTCTACCACAAAAAATATAATAATAATAATAATAATAATAATAAAAAAGAAAGAAAATGTTAATTTTTTTCTTTTAAATAATATTTTACATCGAAATCCCCCCATGAAAATTTGTTGCAGATCTTCATTTTGACAAAAACCCAGTGGAAAGAGACGTGTCTGAAAAGGCTTTGCTATAATTAATGCGACGGCCAATTTAATCAAAATTCCATTTTATTTTTTATTTTTATTATTTTTTAATTTTCATTCACTAATAATTTTAGCAATAAATAATATTTACAATTTCAAGTATAAACTTTCCCACAATTAAAGTTATAACATTTATATAAATTTATGAAGATTAATGATTGTTTATTTGGCTAATGGAATGAAAAAATAATTAATTCATATTTTTTACATTTTTGAATTATCAAACATTTCAAATTATCGAATGTTTAATACAAAACTTCTTTCCCGAAAAAAAAAAAAAAATTAACAACCATTAGTAAGGATAGAAAAGTTTGGTAAAAAGAAGCTCATTCCAAGTATCTTGGAGGCCAGGCATGCACCAATGGACGCAATCCGCATAGCTGACCGGGTTTGCTAGCTGCTCTGACGTTAACGGGGTCCATTGCTTCTTGTAAATCGACGTATGGGCATCCCTGCGATAGCTCGAGAGCTGTGTGATGTTGAGAAATGTGATTGGAAACTTTGACTGCCCGAACACATCTCCAATCACTTCCATTATACTTTTTCTCGAGTCAGAACCCCAATAGTTTGGATCTTGGATTAGAGTTGTTTGGTTGTAGCAGTTCCCACCTTCTTCACCGCCCCAATCAATGCTCCTATAGAGTCAATAAAAAAGATTCAACGTGACTGATCCACTATAGCTACTCCTTTCTAAAAATCGGATGAAATAGTAAAATTATCGTTTTTAATGCACCTCTAATACATCAAATCAGAAACAAAGCAAAAACGAAATACGAAGAGCTCAGTTTGTTTTAGGTTAGATCTCTATTTTTAGCTCCCGTATCTAACTATGTAAAATCGAACGTCCGAATCTTTCAAATAATGCTCGATTCGAAAGAAAGAGAGAAAAAGAGAGATGACCTACTTTCCATGAGAGGGGGACATGCTAGTGAAGAAAACCCTAGTTTTTTTAGGGTTCATATTCTTCCTAACCCATCTCAACATGCTCTTCATAGCCATACGATAAGCATCTTCGGTTGAGAGCTCTACTATGTCTTGTACTTCGTCCTCGAACGATCCTTGCCTACAAATTAATTCATTCCTTATCACGTTCATGCATACAAAAAATAAATAAAGACTAAAATTGTAATTCTTACAGGATTTTCATGTTCAAGCCGGTCATCCACCAAAGGTAAGTATTGAAAACCATAATATCGACCCCCTTCCATTTCCTTCCATGCTTATTAATGGAGCCTCTTCTCACTATCCGATCTGAAATCCGATGGATCACCGCGTTATCCGAGTTCGATTCCAGAAGAAATGGTGCCCAATAGAACTCAATCGTTGCATTGTACTCCTATGTTAGTTTTCAATATCAATCAGATTCTCAATCACTAGAACATGAGAAACAGAAAATGAGAAATAACAAACTATGAACCTTTGCGGTGAAAACGGTGAGCGAATCGAATGTCTCCATGGATTTCTCTTCATCGGGAATTAGAGAGTGAAGGAGACAGATCATTGAAACATATTGACCCCGATTCAGAGAATCTCCAACGAACATCATCCTCTTTCCCCTTAGGGTTTCTAGCATCAGGCTCGCATTGAAACTTCACGTATCAAAAAATAAATTTTTAAATATATATTTTTTTAAAAATGTTTATTATTTTAAGGACTTAAAATGACGTATTAAATAAAAATTTAAAATTTTGAAACCTAAAATTTAAAATTTAATATAATTTATAATTTTATAAATCATTTAAATCCACATATTTAAAAAAATATCCACAAAATTCTTCAACTTGATTCTGCCACGTCACACGCTTGACCATTGGACTGCCAGTTCGGATTCCATCCTTAATTCTAATGCTTCCATACGCTGTCGTTTCGTTCTATTTTTTTCTTTTTTTCTAAATCACATTCTATTTGTTTAATAATTTTACCAAATCGTTTGAAAATACGGAAATAATTAAAAAAAAAAAAAAAAAAAAATATATATATATATATATATATATATATATTTTTTAATTTAAAAAATGAAACTAATAATTTAATTTTAGTTGGTAAAAAATCGCTGTCTTTGAAGAACCAATATTCGTTTGGTCCTTTCATTTCTATAATTTATATTTTAATCCTCTAACTATTTTTTATTCCACTCCCACCCCCCATTTTATCCTAATTAAGTAATAATTTATTATAATCTCTCGACTTTTAAATATTTAGTTTATACATGAATTTTATATTTAAAAATAAAATAATAATTTTAGCTCCTACCTATAATTTCAGCCTTCACATTTTTTTAAATTCTTTTTTACGTCAAATTACAATTTTAAATTTTAATTTTTTAAATCTGTGTAATTTTCTTGAATCGTTTAATAATTTTTATATTTTTATATGGTATCTAATAAATCACTAAAT